TCTGAATACTTTCCGTACCAACTGTAAATATCCCACCCTCCTTCACTCAAGTCTTCTTATTCAAAAGTTTATTATTTTTATGAACAATGCATCAAATGTAAAACAAAGGGAATCTTGCAGTGACAAACACTTGGAGAATCATCACCAGACTCTGCAGTGCCCTTCAGTTCTGCACAGCATCGGGATTTTAGCGCCTTTCACTCTGAGTAGTGTTATTTCTAACAGCACTAGGCAGCTGTTTGCAGTGAAGACGTTTTTGATAAGCCCAATGTTCTCCACTCGACTGGCACTAAACAGCACACACTCACCACACACAGAGATAGAAATTAGCTGGTGAACCTAGTAGATAATTTAGCAGCTAAAGAACCCAGACATTATTCTCAAGAGTTGAGAGGGGAAAAAAAACACTAAACAGAGTGACTACTGGACTTCAACAAAATCATGACTTCATTGAATGTTGATCTGTGTCTGCTGGATATGTAAATCAGATTAGATTAAACTTTGTCATTACACATGTACAAGTACAAGACAACGAAATACAGTTTAGCATCTAACCAGAAGTGCAATAACAGCAGTGCAGAGTGCACAGTATCTACAGTCTGTACAGTCAGAACTAATTTACTGATAGACATGTAAGGTAATATACAATACAGACTTTATGGATTTAAATGACAAATAATGGATAAAGTACATTAAGCTGTGGCTCACGAGGTAGGGTAAGTCGTCTTCTGACCAGCAAGTTGGTGGTTCGACTCCCGGTCTCCCCGCATGCCTAAGTGTCCCTGAGCAAGACACTGAACCCCGAATTGCTTCAGGTGGTTTGACTAGCGCCGTTGTGTGGCAGCCTGTCGTCAGCGGTGTGTGAATGGGTGGGATGATCTCCTGTAAAGCGCTTTGGTCAGTGCAACACACTGTGAAAAATGCGCTATATAAATACAGTCCATTTACCATTTTAAGCTTATAAAACACTAGTGCAATGGGATGAGATGGAATGAAATAAATAGTGCAGAATAGGAAGATAAGTTAAATGAGTTAACAGTTCAATGGATGGAAATAGTGCAATGATAAATACACTATGGCGAGTTTAGGGTTATAAGTCCAAAACAGAGATTGGCCTTTTAT